TATGATCTCTGGAGAAACCAAACACTGGCAAAATTAATTACTGAGTGTAGAGCCAGGAATAACCCCTGAGCACCATCAGGTGTGGCTCAAAAAACAAAAACAACAACAAAGAAAGCCCAAACCCAGAACAAAACAAAAAATCCCACCATCTTCAAAACAGAACAATAAAGAAGGTAAAGTTAAGCAGACTTCATTTGGTTCTTTAAATTATTTAAAATTTGGACCAGAGAGATAGTATAGTGGGGAGGGTGCTTGCCTTGCAGCAAATGACTGAGGTTCAATCCCTGGCATCCCATATGGTCCCCTGAGTCATTCCTGAGTGTAGAGCCAGGACTAAACCCTGAGTATTGCCAACTGTGGTCCCCAAACCAAAAGCAAATAAGATTTTTAAAAATGTATCTATAGTGAAATTTATATACTAACCATCAAAAAATTTTTGTGGTGCTGGGAATCAAACTCAGGGTTTCTCACATGCATGAAAGGCCAGTGCTCTATCAGTCAGCCATATCCCTGCCTGTAAATCAACTCAGAGTGAACAATTTGGTAATATTTAATATATTAAGCAATATTGTGCAACCACTCCCTCTATTAGTTCCAAACATTTCCATTACAAAATAAGATCCCTTGCTGTTTCTCCTAGGCAACTCCAATCTGCATTCAATCTTTATGAATGTAACTATTTGTGATATTTCATATAAATGTGATACTATACATGACATTTTGTGTCTGTCCCCCACACACACCCAGGTCTGTACTGGGTGGAACTCACAGGTTACTCCAAGTTCAGTGCTCAGGCCCTCTGACACATATTTCTGGCTCATGTGTCTGACTTCTTTCACTTAATATGTTTCTGGGCTTCATCAGAGTTGTATGGATATATAATTCCATTTATTAAAAAAACAAAATATTCTATTGCAAGTATACCACTATTGATCCTCTCATTGTTGAGATTCTTGGGTTGTTTCCTGGGGCCTGCCATGACAGACTTCAACCTGCTGTTTGAACTTCAACCTTCAACAACCTGTTGTTTGTTTGGGGTTTGAGGGGCTCTGTGTGGGCACACACCCAGCAGTAGAATTGTTAGGTCATGTGCCATTTCTTTAACTTCTCTGACAAACCACCAAATTGTTTTCCATAGCAGCTGAATAAGTTTCATTCCAGGAATAAAGTTCACAAGAGACATCATCATGTTTAAAGTAATAGGGAACGAGAATGAGAAACTGGCTTCAAGGGCTGGAGCACATGCTTTGTATGCTGGAGGCCCCGGTTCCATCCCTGGCACATGCAGTCCTCCATGAACTGCTCAGTGTGGTCCCCAGATCAAAAAGAGTAATTGGGAGTCATGATATTTTGGGCTTAAAATGTTTTTGGTCTTGTTTTAGCATTGAATGTGACGTAAACTTGGATTTCTTTATAGGTGCCAAAGAACGTTCTGACATCTATGAAGCATTTGAAAACATCTATCCTATTCTAAAATGTTTTAAGAAGTCCTGAACCTAGTATGCAACACCTTGCAGTATAATGGTTTGTGCCTAAAAAAAAGAGCATAGAAACAAATTTTTTCCCTATCTTTAATTTTAGATTTTTTTCTACTTTGATTTCAATAACTTACAAGGATTATAAATGATAAATGCAAGATCTTGCATTTGAAGGACTTTGGTATACTTCAGTTAGCTTTCAAAAAAATTTTGACCCATACTCTGGTTTCTCTTCAGATCACATAAATCTTTCTTCTTTAAAAAAAATTGACCCAGAGACACACTAAGAGTTCTCAAATATTACCTTTGTATTCTAGAAGCCTGAAATCAGTGAGATGAAACCTAACACAGGAACCTGAAGAAATTAATTTTTGCAGGAGAAATGTGGAAAATGAACATTGTAGTTTGGCTAAAGCAGAATTAGGGCAGGGTGCTTTACTAGAATTTCTAGTTTAAAGACATTTGAGTTGTGATAAATTTTTGATGTGATATTTAAATTTTCAATAGTAATGTGTATTTAGAGGATCTTTCTTTTTAAAATCAATATGTACTTGAACAAGTTAAAAACGGTATTTGTTCATGCGTGTTTTGAGCCTGAGAAGTGAGGAGATTTCCTTTTAAAAATGCCTCTTGTCACACATGGAATTGCTTGTGTCAACCTGCCAGAGTTGAAAAAGATCACTGTCATTTTAGATTTACAGTGAGATCAATGCTAATTCTGAAGAAGAAAATAAACATGCCTTTTTATCCTAAAAATACTGCCTCCTGTCTGTTATTGTGAAAATGGTACAAGTAAAATGATTTCAGAATTTGAGGTATTTAAGACTGAGCGAGAATACTGTAGTACTATTAATACTGAATGTGCTGCTCTTATTAAAGATATCTGAAAGCATAATATAGAGGGTTTCACACAATTGTGTCATATTGATAGCTATAATATCACCTGGGCGAAAGAAATTACTGTGTCTAATTTTGACCCCTAAAATATTGAGTAGAGGGCTAATGAGGGGAAGTAGTAGAGCACACGACTTGCACATGTGAGGCCCTAGGCTGGATTCAGGCACTATCTGGTCAGCCCCAGCAATGAGTGTGGCACAGGAAACAGCTCTTCAGTTTTGACCTCCCTGATATAAAAATTACTGAGTAGACGACACTGACTGTTAGGTGCAGGCACTGTGGAGGATTCTGTCAGAGTACAAATCAAATATGAAGGTCTGTCATCTTTAAAGAAAATTGTTTAGTTTGATGTGATCAGAGAAAATTTTTTGTCACTTTAAATTATAAGGGCAGTCTTCTGCCCCCGCGCCTGGCTGTTCCTTGCCGAGGCCCCTTGGAGGGGAGCGGGTTGAGCTTTCCTCCCTGCCCCGACCAGGGCTCCGGCAGCCGAAGACCTCCAGGACCAGCCACCACCATGCTGAGACCACTCTCCGCACACATGAAGGTACTGGCAGAGGGACAAAGCCACGCGGGTTCCGGGGCCGAGATCTCCAAGCCTACTCGGACTGGAGTCGAGCATCTTCCACCCAGATCCTCCAAATCCCAGTAGGCGGGGGTCACACCCACCACCTGGCCCCCTGGCGCCGTGTAATCCCATCAGTGGCCAAGACTCAGAGACTATAAAATCCAGCTCCCGGAACCGCGCGGCCGCGAAGGCGTCCGCGCGACGTCTTATCAGGACATCCTACTTTGGACAAACTTGCAGGCTATCGAATGTAGCCTGCCCACAGGGCAGAGTCTGGCAAACTCCCCGTGGCATACCAAATATGCCAAATACCAGTAACAATGATGGGTCTCATTCTCCTAAAGAGCCTTGAATACAATCTCAGGGCTAGGATGAAAGAGACGTTACTGGGGCCTGCTCGAGGCAATCGACGAATAACAGGATGATAAAATGAAATGAAATGAAAAATTATAAGAGTCGGAGAGACAATACAGCAGATAAATCACTTGTTTTGCATGCAGCCGGCCTAGGTTCAATCCCCAGCAGCCCACATGGTCCCCCAAATCCCTCCAGGAGTGATCCCTGAAAACCACTGAGTGTGATGAAAGATCCAAAAAGAAAAATCTTAAGGGCTGGGAGATGGCTTAAAGACTGGAGGTGATGCTTTGCATACTGAGTTCCAGGTCTGATCTCCTGTGTTCCAAACATCACCGAGTGTGACTTTCAAAAAGAAAAGCAAAAAAATCAACAAAACCCTTTAGGTTTATTATAGCTATCTTGAAAGTACGGGAATTTTTGCTTTTGGGCATACTTTTCATAATCCTGTGTCTGTATTCAATTTCACCAGGTAGGACTAAATGGTAGGAGAAAGGGTGCCGTACAAGACCAAATTAAGTTGTGGAATCATCAACATTTGATGGAAATGTGAAGGTTAATGGGTCTAATACTACTGAAGGTGCTTCCCTGAAGCGGTCAATGATATTCAGGATCAGGGGACTGGTGTGTGCAAGAAGAGTTTGATTTTCCAGAGTCTGAGTTCCGCAGGGTCTCTCTAGCTTGTGATGCCTAGTAGACAGCTGTGAACTGGGCACCGGATTGGCTGAGAAGATCCAGAGGGGACATAATTAAGGAGTCCTCACTGGCAGTCACCAAATTAACCTTGTAGAATCTCTGATGTCCATAATTTTAACTATAAACCTACTCTTCTGCAGTAGTTTAGAGGATTATCCAAAGCTAAGTATGACACAGCCCTCCCCAAGTTGTCCTGTCCAGGTTAAACCTTATCTGGTTTAACTTCTTTGAAACATGGAATAGAGGAGGAATGTTGTCCATTACTTCAAAATTCTCTTCCCCAAAATACAATTTACAAGTCCAATCAAGGTTTGTTTCCACCCCTTTTCTGGTAACGGTTAAAGTTTTCATAGATTACTGTCTTCTTAATCCTCACGACATTAAATACTGTAATTATCTCCATTTAACGCTGAATACAGGAGAAAACAGTCACAGAGAGGTGAGGAATGTGCCCCAAATCACAGCAATTTTAGGAACAGGAGGGAAAGAACTCAACCTCTCCCAAGGCCCAGTCTCTTCCTCGAGCTCTGCTTCTAAATTTTAGCCGAATTTAAATGCATTCAGAAACGAATTCAAGAAATTGCCCCTTTTTTGGTGGTGGTGGTGGTGTGGGGGGAGGGAGAGTCCTAATTCGTTTTTCTTCACTCCTAGCACAAGTTTGGGGCGTTAACACCGTTTCTAGCAAGTCTGGGGCATTCACTCGCAGCTTCGGCGCCACCCAGACGTCGCCACGAGCCCTCAGTCCTGTAACCTAAGCAGCTGCTGCGGGCCCCGCCGACCCCTGAGTGGAGAGAACCGCGACAGCGCGGACAGAGCGTGCGGGGAGACTGGGCGGGGGAGCTCGCGGGACCCAGCACGCCCGGCCCGCCCCTCGCAGGCCACGCCCCGGCCCGATGTCCACGCCCACCACCGATGACCCCGCCCCCGACCCGCCCTCAGCCCCGCCTCCTCGCCCAGGATGCACCAGGTTGAAAACAAAATCCCACGTGACTGGCAGTGCTCTCAGGCCATCATGGCGTCTCCCTGTGGGAAGGGAGCCCGGGCGCTGGAGGCTCCTGGCCTCGGGCCCCGGCCGCTCGTCCGGGAACTGGTGGACTCTGTAGACGATGCGGAGGGGCTGTATGTGGCGGTCGAGCGGTGTCCGCTCTGTAACACGACCCGCCGCCGGCTGACCTGCGCCAAGTGCGTCCAGAACGGCGATTTCGTTTACTTCGACGGTCGCGACCGTGAGAGGTACGGCGGCCGCCACGGCCCTATTGTTTTCTTCCCTAGGTGTCTGCTGCCGCTGCCCGGGTGCCGGCTGGTGCCTGGGATCCGGGTTCAGCGCGAGGGGAGGGAGACCTGGGACGGTGTCTGTTTTGCGCCGGCGCTCGGCCCCTGGGGGAGTAGGTGGTGGGTGAGGGGAAGATGCGGGAACATCTCTGGTTCCCTGTCCTCCCAAAGGAGTAGGACCCTGTAGTGCTCCTGGGTATTAGAGGGACCGGGATAGATAGTGACGCTCAGGAAAATTCTTCCTCTTTTGTTGCCGCGGACTTGGATTTTCGACTCTTTGTAGCTCTCCCAATTCAAAAGATTGGTTTCACCTTTATCTTCGAAAGCACACTGATTCTCTAGAGGAGACACCGGAGGAGGTTAAAATATCCTAACTGGTTGCGGCATTCAGGTCCGGGAGCTGTGTCACAGGTGTGAAACTTGTTACCAGACACGCTGACTCCAGTGTGTGAACTAAAACAAGCTACTTGCTCCCTACTTTCCGCTCTGCCTCTGAAGATTGTTTTGGAAACTAAAGAGTTAGGGGAGGTGTTTTGGCTTTGTTCTAAACCCAGACTGGGAGCTGCCAGCTTTTAGTTAAATTTGGATTTAGGAGCTTGTTGTGGTCTGGTTTTGAAATCTAAACACTACAAACCCTGGTGAAATCGAAAATTAGTGTGATTAGCTGGAGGATTTCTTCCAACTTTTGTTTCAACAGTTTAGTGTCAGGAAATGTAAGGAAGCTTTTTGAGCTCAATAGTTCAGGTAGTAACTTACAGCAACTCAAAAAGTTATTAGGGTTTTCAACTTCCTGCTTGCTGAGGGAACTGCCTTGCCCTAGGGCACACAGATCAGTATATGGACCGAATGAAAATCCTGCCAGAGCTCATTTGTCTTGCACTAGACTCTGCATTTGGAAATATTTTGAGATCCTGGTATTATTCTGATAATAGAGTTCCTTTCTTTCCTTTTGAAATTTGTGTGATATAATAGTAATTCGTTGTCTTGTGTCGCATTGATATCCTCCCTGACTTTATCATCTACTTATGCAATAAATGTAGTTTTAAAAATCAAACCAGTTTTCTTGTAAGAACACTAGGTAAGAGATGGAAATGTCAGGGCCAGAGCAATAGTGCAGCGGGTTGGGCCTTGCCCTGTGTGGGGGCAAACTGGGTTCCATCCTCAGCATACCATATGATCCCCTGAGCATGGCTGGGTGTGACCTGAAAACAAAAACAGAGAAAGATGGAAATGTTTATTTTAATGGAGTTTATTATGAGCTCCGTTCTAGGCCCTCTGTATTTTTCTAGTTGCATTCCTCTGACTTAAACATGTTGGAGGACTGTCATACTCCTCTCCCCAACCCAAACCTCTCTGAAGTGGATAAGACAGCTGTCTATACTTACATCTTTGATTAATTTTCTAATAAGTAGTGGCCTGGAGATGTAGTAAGCAGATAAGGCGCTTGCCTTTGATATGGCAGACCCTTTGATATGCTCAAGCCCTGGCACCTTATATGGTTCCCCCAAGTCTTCCAGGAGTGATATCTGAGCATAGAGCCAGGAGTAATCCCTGAACACTGTCGGGTGTGCCCCCCTCCAAATAAATCAGTACATTTCTAAGTCTGTCCGTCTTAAATGGTAAGCTAAACTCAGTTTTCTGGCATAAACCTGTTTTTCCTATTTTATCCCTGCCCAGCAAAAGGTGACCTCATTGTTCTCTTAGTACATGCCCTAAACACTTTCCAGTTCTTTTCTTTTGATTCCACCATGTCTAAGACAATCCTGTAAACGAATTGTATTTGCTCTTCAAAACCTTCTAAATATAACCTTTCACCACCATCTGGCCAGATCCACCAGAGGATTATTGCTGCTTTTTTTTAAAAATTTTGTTTTGGGGTCACACCCGGCCATGCTCAGGGATCACTCCTAACAGGGCTCTGAGAACCACATGTGGTGCTGGGATTGCACTGAGGTTGGCCTTGTGCAAGGCAAGCCAAGGCAACCTTACTATTACTCAGGCCCTGGATTATTGCTTGTTAAGCATTGTTTGTACCTAGCCAAAATAAAACCACTATCTTTAATTCCATTGTTTGAAATTTCCAGTGGTTTCCTGTTTTCCCAGAGTGGAATCCCAGCTGTATTAGCTTAGCCTCTTTGCCCTTTAAACATACCAAGAACAATCCTGCTTCCGAACTTTGCAGTTTTATTTAGACACCCAGAATTCTTCTCTCCTAGAAGTCTTCAAAGGCTGTCTTCTTTATTTCTTTTGACCTCTGCTCACACACTGGGAGGACTCATCCTGAGCATTCAATTAAAACATAGACCCTCTTAACGTAACCTTTGCATTGTTTTTCATAGCTCTTACAGCATATTAAGATTTATGTATTAAGTTGTAATAACAAATTGTAATTGCCATAGATGTAAACTCTATGAAGGCCAGACTTTATCGGTTCTAGTGTGTCCTCACATTTTTCAGTAAAGATGTATTGCATGAGTAAATGCCCATCCTCCCCAAGTTCCATTTCATTAGTATCCCAAACCATTTCCCTACTATCATGGTCTATTTGTTACTGCAACCAGAAACTTTGGGAGAGGTTTCACTTTTCTTTTTTTCTTTCTCTGTTTATCTAAATCATTGACAAGGCTAACCTGATTTCCAGAGTGTTATCTTGAGTTTTTCTATTTCTATTCCAGTCCACCGTCATTTCTTTTCTGGTACTAAGTGGTCTTTTATCCATATAGCAACACTCCCCCTCTGCCACAGCAGAAAGGTAAATCTGATACTGTCTAACGGTTTTGCTTAAATAGCTATTCATTATATTTAAAATAAAAGTCAAGCTCCATTTCTTGGCATAAGAAGCTCCTTGTGGTTTGGCTACCACTTTGTTCTAACTTTTAACTATTAGCATATTATAAATGCAAAGTTTGAATTCATGCTGCATTGAATTGAATAGAAGCTCCACCCCATTGCTACCTGATTTTAAACAGCTTTCTTAATCTCTTGTGCTTATTTCATTTTAAAACGGCAGGAATATCAAACTTAATAGGTGTTTTGTATTAGTATGTTGCTTACCGTTTATTAAAAATAAAGCTCATTCCCCGCACTCTCATTTCCACCGTCCTACAACCTTATCTCAGATTTTCACTTTGTCACCACTTGTCTTTTTTGCCTTGTTCCCTCTTTTCAGAACCCGTTTCCTCCTGATTGGTATCTTGTACTGTCATGTCCTAGATGATGTCTTCTCTGACCTTCCAGAAGGGAGGTTCCCACGAGCATGTCTCTTTTTGTGTACTATTTGGTGGCTCAGTGCACTGAAATGACACCTTATTTATTTGAGTATAGCATCCGCCTTCTGTGAAGATAAACTTTCAGGATTTATTCCTCAGCACACTAGGGCTTACTGCAGTGATTTTGGGTAGCACAGAATAGGAATACTGATGAATGATCAGCAAAAGCAGTACAACTTCTAATCTGAAGTTTCTGTTTTCTTTTTGGTTTATTTTGTGGCCACATCCAGCGGTACTCAGGGCTTACTCCTTGTTCTGTGCTTAGGGATCATCCCTGGTGGGCTCAGGGATCACTCCTGGGGATCATATGTAATGCAGAGGGTCGAAGCTGGGTAAGTTAACCCTGTACAATGCAAGATCCTTACTTGCTGTACTATCTCTCCAATCAAGATAAAAATTCTTCACTAATGCTTAGCTAAAGTGGATTTAAACAAGAGCAATGTGTTATAGTGGGTTTCTGAACGACGTGTTCCTTAAGAAGAGTAGTTTGTTTTTCCTCATTTGAGAATATCCTTTAAAGGTCACCCGAACGGCAAAGCCTCGCAAGCTACCCGTGACGTATTCGATATGCCAAACACAGTAACAAGTGTCACAATGGAGACTTTACTGGGCTCGCCTGAGTAAATTGATGAACAATGAGAGGATAGTGACAGTGACCGTGACAGTCCTGTTTGGTTGGTTTGGTATTGCTTATTATGAACAGCATGAGATGTTGCGCGGCCTTGAAAGTAGCTGTGTGCTCCTGGTATTCTAAATTTTAAATAATTAGGGTCTGGAAGAATCTCTGTAGTGAGTTACTTGTGAATCTCTCAAGGATGAAATCTCTTGAGACACTAGACCACTTTCCTAAAAGGCAAATCATTTTTAGTGAACTTCTATTGGGTGCATAATAGGTGAGGGTAAGGCAACACTGTAGCACTGTCCTCCCATTGTTCATTGATTTGCGCCAGCAGGCACCAGTAATGTCTTCATTGTGAGACTTATTACTGTTTTTGGCATATGGAATACCCCACGGGAGCTTGCCAAGCTCTGCCCTTGAGGGCAGGATACTCTCGGTAGCTTGCTGGGCTCTCTGAGAGGAATGGAGGAATCGAACCCAGGTCAACCCTGTGCAAGGCAAACGCTCTACCCGCTGTGCTATCGCTCCAGCCAGAGAGATAATTCAGCTGGTATTATCAAAGATAATACTCTTTGTCTTGCATATGACCAGCCTTGGGTTTGATCCCTGGTGCCCCATGTGGTCCCCTAAACCTACCAAGAATAATCCCTAAGCACCACTAGGTATGGCCCCAAAACAAAAACAACTGCATAAAAGAGTCTGGCAAGTTGCAGAGGGCAGCTCTGTTCTTGGGGATTTACTGACTCATTATGAGCCTTATATTGTACGTGTCAAAGGTTGATTATGGAATATCTATCATCAGTATTTATAAAAGTTTTATTAAAGTACTGTTTTCAGTATTCTGTCCTTTGATTTCAGAATGAAAACCCCCTCACTATGAACAACATGAGATGTCGCTTATTATGGGAAATTGCTTGGAAATAAAACATGGAGCTTTATATAGCAGTTTTTAAAAGAACTCTGCTTGACCTCCGATTCTTTTCAAATAATCTAACCGAATTCTCTTTGCCCATATGTTTCTAGTATCTGATCATGCGTACCAGTTCTCATAAATGTAAATGTACTGTTTCACA